GCTAGTGCTGCGCGTCATGGTCGTCTGGATTTTTTGTTGGTCTATACCAAAATGTAATCGACAAAAAAAAGCTGCTCGAAGCTTTGTACTTTTTTCACCTATTACGTCCAAGCTGATAACATTTTTTGTGTGATTATATTTCTATTACGCTACTATAGCCTCGCACACTAACTCCCGAATGTGCGATGCAAGATTAAAATGAGATACGCAGAAACCCGTTGCAGGTGCCCTGAAGTCGCTGACGCAAATTTTGGGGAATGTATTTGTAAAGGTATTTGGAGGAGACCAAATACATTTGGTTGTATTTGTATCTTGTGCTTAAATGCTTTTTTAGAAATGTTATTAGATTTGTAATTAAATACATTTTTGACGAAGTATTTTGTATTTGTATTTTGATACATATTTGCATGTATTTTGCCCATCCCTAATACCTATTTATTGGAAGAACTTCTCCTTTCCCAGCAATGGAAGACTTCATCAAGGTATTTTTCAAATCCGCAATCCACTAGTGGAAGACTCATAAGGAAGAGCCTGCGACACTGTAATGTTCGTTTATACTATACAAATGACCATTTTGTTGATCCCTTTATTGTTTGATATAATGCGGTGCAGTACCTGTAACCCTGCGGGGTTGCAAGTTTTTTTCAAATGTTCGGGGCACAATCACGCTATCTTTGAAACTCACAATCGAACCACGCGGAAGAGAGGGACGCGGGAAAAAGTGGAAGGGAGGAAAGGGCGTCAGTGTCATCTGTGGACAGCTCAGTGCACTTTTTTTTAACTTCTACCCAGACCTAGTTCCCCATTTGCCGCAACGACTCTTGTCGCTTGTGTTTCGCAGTCACAGTGGATGCTGTAGCTGCACCCGGCTGGCGACACTTGCGTTTGCTCGTGCTTTCTGCCAGAACGTTTACGACCAACCACAAGGATAGTGACATCCAACAGCATGATAATTGGGCTTTTGTGACGTCAATTGCTAGATCAGGACTATTTTCGACTTATGGGGGGAATATGATGGTAATCACACCAGTCGGAGGCGAGTTCAAAGCACTGCAGTTCCAATGCGCCAAATACACAATGTGGAATAGTTGCCCTTTGTACACATTGCTCTCACGTGACTTCATCGCCGCGTCTGGTAGTCATTCGGGGTCAGTCCTCCTTACTCTTGCCAACAAAGACTAATTGAGCGGCGCGATATGTATGCTACAGAAGGTACACGCTCAGACGCAATGCCACCAGAATGGCTGCTGGTGTGCCGTCGACGACGCTTGAAAGCAAGCAACGCTCGGGCCGTGCGTTCAAGCTCTGAAGATGGCGCCGAGATCAAAAGCCTTTTTATACCTACGGCCTTGGCTTGTGCATGATCTCACGCTAAGCATTACAGGCTCACATCAAAAAGCGCTGAACTTCGTGGAGCGTTGCTTAACAGGGAAATGTGCACTTAAAAAATTTACGGCAACACTCCGGCCAGTATTCTTCTGCAGCAAACTCATTACGACAAAGAGGCGATAAACGCCGCCGATACCCATACGTGACGTCAAAACGTCTGTACGTGAGCGACTTTATATGCACAAAAGTAACGAAAATGCAAACGCTGGAAACCCGAGTGTAATACCAACGCCTACCACCATCAGCAAAGAGTGTTCGAACGTGGTTCTACCTTCGGAGCCTGTCGGAAATCAGTGCCAGTTTGAATGGCCTCTGTCCCGCACCGGCCGCTGGCGGACGCCGGATGAACAAAATCTAGCTCACTTAGATCGGCGTCGAACAGCACGTGGCCCGAACCAATTAGCGAAGTATTGGCTAAATGAGCGCTGCAATCGTTTGATTGTCTTCTGTAACGTTAAAAGTTAAATCGAGGGACAGCGAAAGATACGGCGTGTGTCTTACAAATTATTACATGACAGAGCCTCATTCGTTCGGGATTAATGACAGTCGTTAAAGGGGCAGCATTTCGGCTACCACAATTTAACATAAAGATTTATACGGGTGTTTTTTTTTAGCTGCACCCAACTAAAAAAAAAAAAAGGAACGTGAGATACAGTCATTTGAGCCCTGGGGAAGTGTTAGTGGCCATGGCGGCCTTAGAGAAAAGGAGAAACTGCGTCATTAATTAGCTAATTAACTAAACTATTTTAACCAACTTTTTAAATTTTTACTTGAGGGAGCATAATGTAATCAGAGCTTTGAAGCTTGATTTCAATATTGTCTTGCCCTGCCATCGAAGCTTCATTAAAAACTTTGTAGTAGGTGCTACGGGGTCAAGAAATGTCACTTCGGTACACGGCGTCGAACCAAAAATAAGGGGGCACTCTTAGAAAAAAGCTAGTAAAAAGCTATTAACTACAGCATATATTACATCGTTCTGAGCGTTACTACCTTTCACTAACCATTTATTACCTCAAACGCGCGATAGGTAGTAAAAACTTAGTAAATGCAGCCAGCACTACCTTTTCTGAGCGTTACTACCCTTTTACCAGCTATTTACTACGGCAAAGGCGCGGAAAAAATGGCTGCGCTTGCTTCATACCCGATTGCCAGCGTTAGCGACGAACTTGCTAGTTCGAATCGCAGGGTAAAGTATCCACACGCAATCGTAGCGTCAAATATCGTATGACGGGAGATGTTTAAGGGTAGGAGTTTACCTTATAACGATCGCAGCCTTCGTTCCAGCATGACGTGAAGGCCGGCGCTGCTGCGAGCGCAGCAGCCATTGTTGTTGCAATGGCAATGCGGCTATTTTCTTTCTTTCCATCTCGTTTACATTCGTTTTTGAGCGTTTATATTTTCATTTTGGTTTGAACTGGGATAAAAATAGCCACGTAGCACATCCGAAAAACGTTGCCGAAAACAATAAAAGTTCATTCTGTTTTCTTTTATATTTTTGTATTTTTGTATTTTTTTAAAACATGTTTTTCTTTCACAAGAGACGCTTGGCAACATTGTTTGGCAAGCAAGTTGGGGCCAGCCGGGGTTTGCAAGACGCTAATTTTCCCGATGGGAACCTGCCGTTTTTGCCTCGTGCCGTGTGCAGTTCTTGTGTTCCCGTGTTGGAGTGCATAGTTAACGCTCGTGCGCTCGACGGGGCGACTGTGTAGTGGACCTGGACTGCTCCGAGGATAGTTCTAACGAGCCGGTGCCGCTGTGACTGGATTGGGTGTTGTCGTCCAATAAGCTTTTTTCCGCTTCCTGATACTTGACACTGAGAACTTCTTCACGGGTTGTGTGTGCTTGGTGGTTGAATAATTCTGATTGAGCTGTCTTCGGTCGTGACAGTGCGCTGTCACAACCGGTGATATGCGTCGTAAATATTGTATGTAGCTTTGGGACTAATGAAAAAAAAAACTATTTTGGCATTCTACGAGTCTTTCTGAATTTGCTTATATCTTCTCCAAAAACGCGAGCATTCGTCAGTGTACTACAGAAATTAAGATGCGAGCTATACGCGGTATTAATTTTGCATGCATTATTGTAGCGGAGCACGCGAAAGGAGCGCTGCTGCCGTCGTACTCCCCGTCTATTAGAGCCTTCGTTCGCCGCGGGAGACGGCAAGAAAGCTCTCTCTCGTCGACGGCGACTGCATTCGTTTTAAAGGCTGAACCGCATATAATCGATTTAGCGAGCGACGAGACGAAGCGTCGCTCATCGCCTTGGCCGCTTGTTCCCGGTGCTTTTATGCGGTTTGCCTCGTCGCGCAACTTACCTAGCGACTGCGAAGAACTGACGTGCTGGTACACGACGACAAGTTTGAGCACTTAAATGATCAGCATAAAAGACTTAAGGGCAGTCAATGAAGTTAGTGGGGAGGAAGTTGCCGAGTGGGCTAACGCGTCTCAGCTAGAAAGTTTGCGCTGGGAACCTCCTGGGTTCGATCCGCACTGCACCCGCCCGTAAGTTAGCGATTGGAGTGATTAAGTAAGCGTGTGTTTGTGTTCAACGCATTGTGTCGATTGTGTGCTAAAACTCTGGGGTGTGCATGTGTATATGTATCGACTTGCAAATTTGGAAGGATTTTTTTGTGTACGTTTAATTGGACGCTGAATAGCGCCACCTGGATTACTCATTTCCGGTTTCAATTTTTGTTGCGCCTGCCATCTGGTGCTAAGTGGCCTGACCCCACACCTTTTTTTTTTACCACCGGAAATCACGCGACTAGTTGCGTTTCCAATTTTCCGTCGGGCGGTAGCGCTAGTTTCAAGCTAGAGGTAGTAAAGTACATGGATTTAACATTTAGGCTAGAAGCAGTTACTAGCTTCTTGACCTAGTAACCGTTACTACCCAAGGTTACTATAGGCGCCTATTAACATATATGACGAGCGGTTGCTAGCTTTTACCTTGTTAATACTACTAGCTTTTTTTTAAGAGTGAGAAAGAGCGTCAGTCAAGTTATCGCTCTGCCCTTTCGGCCCTAAAGGATCGTCGTTATAGCAGCCAGCTTCGCCTAAGCAAGTGGAGCCGGCCGCGATAATGACGAATTCCATGCCCGGAAGAGCGGAACGATAACTTTACCGGCGCTCTTTCCTGTTTAGTTTCGGTTTGATGTCATTTACCTAGGTGACATTTCTCGACCCCGTAGCGTCTACTAAGAATTTGTTTCTCCGAATTTGGCGACACGGCTAAACCATATTGGGGTCTATCTTCGATCCTCTAAATACATTATGATCCCTCAATTTAAAATTAAAAAGTTAGTTATAACATTTTAGTTAATTAGCCAACTAATGACATAATATCACCTTTTTTCTAGAGGCCGCCATGGCCACGAACACTTCCGAATGGCCCAAATTACTCTATCTCACGTTCCCTTTTTTTGAACATTGGGTGGAGCTAAAAAAAAACAGCCTGTATACAAACCTTACGAAGGTACTACTCTTGAATTACTCAGACTAGCCCTCCGGAGAATGGACAAGTTTGCACTCAAAGGCGTAAGTTCCATCTAAAAAATAATCTTCATGATACCAGCCCTTATTTAAAAGCAGTGCAATATTCTTTTACAAAGTTTATTAACGAACATTGTCAGCAAATTTTCCTTGGATGTTTCCTTGAGGCCAATAGTTGCAGACAACATATGTCGTCCTTGAGTATTGTGAGCGGGCATAACCACATCCAACAAGTGTGGTTGCTTTCCACACCATTTGTGTGAAATGGGACGTCTCTGGGCTGAACCGAGGGTCGTGATAATTATATTTATATATTTCGTCGAACCACAGCGAAGTAACTTCTTTTTCTGAAAAGAAAGGAGTAAAAATTATGTCTAAGATTTATCCGTCAAGCAGCTCTTCGAAACTTTGAGGTATAATCTATGAAGCTGATCTCTGATGAAACCTGTTTAGTAAGCACAGTATATTGGTATTGTAAGTGCTCTACTGGAAGTCTTCTTGTTTAATACTTTTGCGAGTTAAACATCAAGAGAAGCATAAAGTCGGTCCAGCCATTGAATTAAGCGAAATGTAGAAGCCTGAAGCACGTTCATATTAAAATTGGCGAAAAAAAAAAAAAAAGACGGGATAAAACGACGAAGAAACACAAAGGCCAAACGTCTTTTTGGCCCGTATTTTGTTTTGCTAGTTTAGATATAAATATCAATTGCCAACTTGCCCAGCAGACCAAGCCTAAACCACGAACGAGTCAATTAGAGAAGTGAACACTCACAAATATTTGTATAACGTAACTAATTTAAAAGAAGATGTGGGCATCAATTATGATAATGAACACGAACAAAAATAAACGAACTTTCTACGAGTGCGCACACAAGCTGGACAATCGAAACAAACATATATAATAGTTCCGTGCATTGAAATTTTACATATATTTCAGCCATTCTAGATAGAAATGCTTATGCATGCTTTTATGTGAGTGCGCTCCCCCTCTTTGCAAATGCAGTGGACTCTAAAAAAAATACGTTTTGAAAGTGAGACTAGCGTTATTACTGTAACAGAAATCCCGGCACACATTATTTGATGGTTTATTAAATGACTTGATTGTGTGCTCAGGTAATAGCTCAAGCCATTGAGAGTGCCCTATTAAAGCAATAAAATATTTTACCTAGTTGGCATGTATTTCCTACAATCGGAGTTTATGCGACGTATCATCAAATAAAAATTACGTATTATATCTTCTGCAGAATCCTCCATTCATTGGAGAAATACGAGGCCATAATATGCCGTTCAACTTGCGCTTAACTGCTTATGGGTAAACTTATATACTGCGTCTTCATTAAATACCAGTATAGGAAAAAAATGGATTCTTCCGTAGACAGATTCTAGGCTTCCAGTGCACAAATAATACTCAATTGTTGAAACTTGTTATTTGTATCGTAATATATTTCATATACTGCCCGTCATACTAATAAGACGAATTTCTGAAGAATATACGTGCATATTAACATTTTATATTATGCTTCACACTTGGATCTAGCTGAGTTGACGACGCTACAATCCCATGAATCCAAACAAGCGCCGTTAAAAGTGCCTCGTCACGGCGTCGGTCGTATTCGTGCCCTGGCTCTCCGCAACTAAACGACTCATGCACAGTGAATGCTTCATGATGCAGCCATTTTCTATGGGCGTGACTGGTTTAGCCGCTGGTAGCACACGCGTAAAAACGACGAGGGCCATGACGATACACTTTTTTGCGCTGCTTGATTGGTGCTGCTTGAAAAACGTTGAAGGTGAGGGCAAAATTAGCTAGAACAGAATCCTGGAATTCTCAGAATGAAAGCCGACGTTTTCTTGAAACGCTTAGTTTTGTTACCAAACGGTCCTGTGTAAGTTCAAGACGTTTCTTTATGAGCTTAGCTAAAAAGATATTAAACAAATCTTGACAAACAAAACCTGCAGAAAAAGGAAGTGCTGTATTACTGACCTGAAGGTACGAAATTGGGCGCAGTTCGTGTCTTCCAGTAGATATTTTCGCCCATTCTATCGTAAGGAATCGGTCGTGGTGGTCGATGTTCAATAACATTATATTGGGCAAGCCTTTCCGCCCACAGCTGCGCCCATGCTTGTAACTGCGTCAAGAGAAAAGAGTATTGAAGAATGCACTTAAAAGTGTTTGTGTAGCAGATGAGGTTCTCATAGATAGCTCCAGTTTTCTCCACAGCGATAAGCACGTTTATTAACTCGTTACCACTTTGGACGTTCCAACACTGAAGAGTTTGTTTTCCAGCATAGCAGCCGGGAGAGCTAATTGGTTCAAGCAAAGGAGAGAGCATGGGGAATGACGGCGCTGAAAATATGTTTAGGCAGAAATAAAGCTGTCTGCACTCTGGCAGTGGACATGGTGAAACGTCGTGCACATTGCCTGAGCGCAGAGAGCTTTTGTTGGGCCTAAACATTCGCTAAACTGCCTCCGTAAGTTAGTGCGATTGACTCTTCTAAACGGCTTGTGGGAAAAAAGACACTCCAGTTTTTTAGAGTGAATGATAAAGTCGATTTACGTTTTGCCTTAATTTCTTAAGTAATTTGCTGAATTATTTAGCGCGACGATGACTTTCATTCGCGCCTTTCGGTGACGCCTTCGCTTTTAAAGATTTTCACGTGTCTGCGCACAACAATCAATCACGGGACTCGAAGGGGTGAGCTCAGGTAATATTATATCATAAAAATACTCCGCTATGTAGAGAGGTTTTCTGTATGGTGTTGAGTGTGACGTTTCACATGTTCTAGGCCATCTTATTGTTGTAGCATAAGCCCTATTTTAAAGGAAAATTTTGATTTTTAAACATATAATTGGCTAAAATTGGTCAAACGGCAGGCGAGTTAGTGTAATTCGAATGGTTAGGAAAAAGAATACGCAAAGGAAGAAAAAAAAAACTGGCAACGTCTCAACAAGCTACCAAGTTTATTTCGTACACGCCTTGCATACCACGTCCGCAACACCGTCACTACAATCGGAAGAAGCTGCAAAACCCAACGACAAGAGGAGAAAATATAATAAACGGCTAATAAAAAACAATCACACAAAGTTTTTAACAAAATAAGAAATTAGCCGTCTTTTGTTTGTTTGTTTGTTTAGACAGATTTTACAGTCTCCGACAAAAGGGTAAAAGACAGGTATGTTCTGCTGATGTTGCCCCGTTGCCAGTTGACAATGCTCAGCACAACACGAAAAAGCAATAGTGACAAACATTCAAGAGTGAACAGGAAAACAAAGACACAAACTTTGTATAAAGTAGTTACAACATAATTGAGGTAGTTGAATCTATGGCTTAGAGAAGTCATTTGTAAACAATACAATTATAAGAGGCAAACAAAGAAGTGGTAAAATTGATTACACATATATGCTTAAATTTTTTGTTCGTTGCACGTAACAGAAGGTTCTTTTTGATTGATTTTTTATACATGTGGTTAGACCCAGAGCTTCGAATAATTTCTTGAATGTTTGCATTTTTGTTTCGTGAATCTAGTATTAAATAATCCAATTGCTGAGTACCTTAAATTCTTCATCAGCGAGGGTATTCTAAATGTGTCATGTCGGAGATTATGGCGTGATTCTAGAAAGATATGTGCCAAAAAATCAAGATCCGTTTCTTCTAATCTCATTAAAGATATAAATAGAGCGTTTTATCTCATAACCTGCACTATGTCAAGCAAATTTTGTTTAATATAATAAGGGGCTCTATGAGCCACACGCTGAAGGTTTTCGATGCAATGTACTGCCCTTTGTATCCCCTAACCTCGGCTACAAAACAATTGCACAAAGGGTTACAGTTCAGCACAACCTCCATCTTGCCGTTTGCGAACGCAGGGGGTTCATAACTGAACACAAACCAAAGAACTTGACCTCCGAGAAAGAACCAAACAAGTGTTTACACTGCCCTTTCTCTAATAAACCACAGAGCTCGAAGATACACACATACGGAGTGTTAACACTTCGGAACTGCCTACACGTATTCGCGACCTTGTAACAACCTATAACATTCCTTACAAAAAAAACTACACCTTACAAGGACAGATATTGTAAACACTTGTTCTCAAACTGCAGACGTTGCTTGACGTTTTTCAGTCTTTGCGTTTTACTTTCCCTACCCCAATCTCAAATTTCCCATCATATTCATAATTGGCCGATTATTTCGCATAGAGTGCACCAATAGGACATATTTGTACATTTGAGAGACATGCATGTCCGGTCAACTTTTAGATTGGTCTCCTGAAATATATCTTAGGAAGTAAATTTTCATATCTAAAAGCTCTGCTTCACAAAGATGATGCTGTGGTCGTAGTTATAAAGAAGCAAATGCATTATTATATAATGTACGAGTTGATAAAGCAAATTTCGATGTGAACAGCATAGTGAAGGATTGAAAAAACGAGCAAAACATTCTGAATATACTTACGTTGTAATTATAGCTGAGAGGGGGCGTCCCGCGTTGTTTTCTATAGTAGTTGTGCCAATCGAGCATGTATCTCCAAAAGTCAGGGTCAACCTGCAAAAAATGTTCCGAGCTTCAATCTTGAAGATTAATTGCGCCGGATGCATGCATGCTTGATCAGGGCTGACGACATTGTAATTCTGAATGTATAAAGTAGCTTCCTGGATTTAAACCCCTTTACGTGGTTTGCATATGTATTGAAAGTAGGCTGCATGAAGACTCTGTTGAGCCTGACGTATAATGCGCCTCGCGGAAAATGTACTCAGGCCAGTCTCGTGCTAGAGGACAGGTCTACAGTCTTGAATTTAAACTACCCCCTCCGTTTTAATCAGTTTCTTATTTGTTATCAAGAAGAATTATTCGTTACAAGATCTTTACATCAAAACATATTGGGTTACTTGGGTGGAACAGCGCGGACATACACTGACACTCGAAGGCACACAAGAAGGAAACAGACTCGAGGCGTTAAGAACTCAGTGATATATTCCTTTTCCTCAAATCGTCATCTTCTTTTCCCTCGCCGTTAAAAAGAACGGTTTAAATTTTTAAACACAACAAACCAAATAGCCAACGAACATTAATAAATAAATAAATGCCAACAAAAATAAAGTTAAAATCAGTTAAAAAATAAGTTAAAAGCCATTATTTTCTTAAATTACTAAAAAAATGAATGAAAGAAAATAAATTAAAAAAGTATTTAAATATAAAAATGAAAATAAACGTTCCGCCTTAGTAGGAATTTCCAACTAGCCCCAGCATCCACATTATGCATATCGAGTTATTTCTAAGCTTCTCTATTCTTGGAGAACGCTGAGTAACACCGAAAATTAAGCCATACCCAGATTAGTCATGATATAGAAAAACAAGAGAACACAGACGAATAGGAGGATCTCTCCTTGAGGAGAACAATTTCAAGCTTTATGGGAGCACAATATTTATATAAAGCCTTATTCAGGGTACAATCGAAACACAGATCCCACTCAGCTGTCCGAAAGTCTGCTTCTTTTCTTCGTAACCACATATTTTACCTGGTTATCTTCTCTTATCAGAAAGGGGAACGTTTTCCACGTAATCAGATCACGCGTATCTTTCCTATAGGTTCGGAAATTTCACATCCTTCTGCGATTTTCTTTGAGATAAGCAACGTGATAAGTACCGATTTAGGTACCCGAGCTATAATAAGTACCCGAGCTATAATTATACGCCCTATATTACGTCATTCAACCGCTCGATTGAAAGGCTAATGTCCCGGGTGTCACTGAAAGAAACAAAAAGCAAAATCTCTCCTCCCCGCCCGCCCGCCCCCCCCCCCCCCCCCCCCCCCAAGAAATGAACTTTCTCTTGCCTAATGCTGGACCGCAGCCCAGATGTATTTCTAGCGGTCCGGACGAAACGTCAAAGTTGCAGAGCTAGCTGCAATCCTAATCAAAATTTTCAAGTGATTTCTTGAAACCCTCATGAAAAAACAGGACCCGTTTGTGCCATAATGCCATTCACACCCACGTGTTCGTTTCCGTTTAAAATGTTTTAAATTCACTTGTAAAGGTAGGGCAATAATACAACGGTTAGTTCGGACGCTTTTACAGCTGGTCCGGACCATTACGGCTACACTTGGGCGAAGAACAATAGCTCGCCAAGTTGTATAGTTCAATTTTTGCTATAAATAATAAACCCTAGATTTTTTTTTTCTCAAGGGGGTGGGAGCGGGCACTTGGTAGTCAGGCAATTAAACAACAGAACTGGTGGCGAAAGTGTAGTTCATCTCCGCAAGTTTCTCATTCAATATTTATCCCCTACAACATAATGCGTCTCCTAGCTAAAGTTAGGTACATTTTTAATAGCTGAAACTGTGCCACACGATATCACCTGTCAAACGCTTCAGCATCCTCGGGGTTGTCTCCTCTACCTCACCTCACAGCTCTTAGCATTGCCCTTTTCATTCTCTCTGAAGGGGACGTTTTAAGTGCTTCTAACGCCTCTTTGTATCACAGGGTTTGCTAGAAAATTGACGTGTCCTCACATGTGATGATCTTTTCCAGTGATTCAGGTTCCGTTGCAAGTCGTTTTATGAAGTCACTGCAAATGAGTTTCGGGTCGCCTATCTGCTCCTGACTGAGGTTATCCGGAACCATATGTTCGCGCATACTTAAAGCAAGCTGAATTGGGTGTGTAAATTTGCCATAG